GACTGTGCCACTAGAGATCCTGGTTCGAATCCAGGCTCTGTCGCAGCCGGCCGCGACCGGGAGACTCATGGGCGGCGCACAATTGGCCCAGCGTCGTCCAGGGTAGGGGAGGGAATGGCCGGCAGGGATGTAGCTCAGTTGATAGAGCATGGCGTTTGCAACGCCAGGGTTGTGGGTTCGATTCCCACGGGGGGGCCAGTATAAAAAAATATATATATGTATTCACTAACTGTAAGTCGCTCTGGATAAGAGCGTCTGCTAAATGACTAAAATGTAAATGTAAATGTTGAAGCAGTGATTGTTGATTTGGTTCACTCTGATTCTTCATAACCAAAGCTTCTCTTCTCCTTCTTCTTCTCCACCAGTTGTATTTGATTGAGTTTTCTGAGAGTTTCTTCGTCCTGTTCTTTCTTGTTGTTGACATATCAGGATTCTTCAACAGCTTATATTCTAAGTTCTGTCCTCGAAATATCATCTTCCATCATCTTCTTACTAGTGGCCTTTTTCCTTGGCCTCAATGTATTCTTCTCCTCCAATTCTTGGGATTCTTTTCTCAGCAGTTTTTCTTCTCTTCTGTATCTTCATCTTTATCTTCATCTTTCCGAACCTCATTCTTCTCTTAGTTTCCAGACATCTCGGTTTTTCCTTACTTCTGGAGTTTTGGATTCATTTTTATTGTCGTTTCTGCTTGTCCTCTATCTATTATTCGTTCATCTTCATCTCTGATGCATAATCACCCTCCTGGATGATCACTGGAAGCTGAGGATAAACATCCCTAAGCTCTACTTCCTTCTCATAAGGTGGGGGTCTTTTTGCTGAATCCGTATGTGAGAAAGGTGTACTAACTTCTGCCATTAGTTTTTCTGTCGCCTTCTCTTCCTTTAGCATTTTCTCTATACCTTTGTTTATCTTATCGCTGGAATCTTTTATCAGTTTTTGTTTGAGAATGAAGGGCAACTTAAGAACACCCAGCTCTCTGTCTCTTTTCTTTACGTAGTTCCCTTTTTTTCCCTTCTTTTGAACCGCTTTATGAATTGACAGAAGCACTTTCATTATGTTGATGACGTCAGGGTTAAGATTCCCTCTACTAGCTATGGTTTGTTCAATGTCAGGCCAACTTTTGTTTCATTTGCCGGATAACCTAGCAATGCTTTAGTTAAAGGATTACTATTTTGTACTATACCAACAGGTGTAATTACCTTCATAGTCCTGATATCTTTTTCCCATTGTACCAACTCTTTTATATTCCTTTATTGTGAATTATTTTATTTCAGACTATATAGCCTATGGCTTCCCCCCTTTAATTATTAATATAAACTAAACTAAAAAAAAATATATATATATATTTTTAATCAATCAACAAAAATATGAATATTAAAAAATTATATTAAAAATATTTATTTAAAAAAAATCTTTCTAATTAAAATAAATCAATTAAAAAATTATGAATAATCTAAATCTTTATTTCTATATCCTATTTTACCAATTTATCAATTAGTGGTTATCTTACCACAACCCATCCGGAAAGTAAATGCAAGTAGTCAACTTCAGAGCAATCCAAAAATAAAGACTTCCAATATTACAACACTACAATACCCATAAACCCCTTGCTCTATAAGAACCCAATTATCTTAATTTTACAGAATAATGTCAGTTCTCGATTCCCAACACAACCCCTAATCAACCCCAAGTGATGCACAGAAACTCCAAAATGCAATTTTTAATGAATGAGTATTGCCAAGCCTCTGTGAAATTGTCATAACATCAAATATCCTGTAGGGGAAGATTTTGTAAACAGAACAGACATTTTACATTTTAGTCATTTAGCAGACGCTCTTATCCAGAGCGACTTACAGTTAGTGAGTGCATACATTATTTTTTATTTTTTTTTCATACTGGCCCCCCATGGGAATCGAACCCACAACCATGGCATTGCAAATGCCATCCCTGCCGGCCATTCCCTCCCCTACCCTGGACGACGCTGGGCCAATTGTGCGCCGCCCCATGGGTCTCCCGGTCGCGGCCGGCTACGACAGAGCCTGGATTCGAACCAGGATCTCTAGTGGCACAGTTAGCACTGCGATGCGATGCAGTGCATTAGACCACTGCGCCACTCGGGAGGTGATCAGCATCAAAACCTTTTGACTCGATCCTCCCCTTGTCACGTGATGTACACGTCAGCACCTCTCTTTCTTTCCCTCCCTCGCTCTCTCTCCTCTCGTCCCATCGTTCCTCATATGACAAAAGAGCATAGAAACAGACAAGAATTTAGAGTTTATACACTCACTGATTTATTTCCAGCATTCAATATTCCTCCACTCACATTCGCTCTAAGAATTAACTCAGGAATAAATAGCTCAATAACATTTTTATTTATTTTAAATCCGTCATTTTATTTAATTTAATTATTTTTATTTTTAATCCGTCAACATCTCTCTCTCATTTATCAATTCAATAGGTCTCAAGAAAACAGTTATCTTCAAACAGACAAACGTAACAACTAGAATACACCATTAGACTCTAAATGTCTAATTCTTTGTTCCTCCATCTGTGTCTGTGTCTGTTTTTTCTCCCTGCAGCACAGTCTAACAGAAGTATGACCGATTTACCCAAAATCCCCCCGTGTTGTAGTTTATGTAAAATCCCTCGTGTTGTAGTTTTAGTAAAATCACACGCATGCGCATTACATTTAACCATACGATTTCACCATGGAAGCAGCTCCAGACAACAGAACGTTAGCATTCCGCTATAGCTCCTATCTTTTACCCCTTATAGACAAACAATAACACTTAACAGTTCACAAGACACCAGGCACCAAGCCCAAGCTAACTAAACACATTTCTGATGGCTCGTCCCATTCCTATGGACCACCAAGGAAGAAATATTAATCATAACCCGCATCCAAAATTGGCATGTAGCATGATTAGCATTTAGCATTAGCATTTAGCATGTAGCATGAAGCATAATTAGCAGGCCATGTTAGCATTTCTCCCTCCGCTGTACCGTAAAATACCATTTGTTAACTAAATTTATGCTACCACGAGATCTGTGGAATCGACACGAGAGATTGCATCAAACAAGCCGTTCGTCAACCGCCAGCTGAGGGGCAATATACATCATCAATAAACCACGGTCCTCCAGCCCATAGACTCACCTAAAACACATCTAACGCGTATCAGGATTTTCTGGCCCACCTTTAATAGGTCGCCTGTCTTCCAGGGCTTTTCCATGATTTACAGCGGCTCTAAGTTACATACACATCTGCCTAGGCATTCCTTATTCCTCTCTCAATCGATTGTTCTTGAACTGTTATTCAAGCAAAATCTCTCTATAGACACTCTATAGACTCTCTCTCCCCCCTTTTGCGCTGTCTACCAGTGCAACCAAATTTATAATGATTAGCCAGACCCCCAGTTCTCAGCAATACAGCAACACAAGGCACACATCGTTCCTTACACGGTACATCTCCCCAGCGCACATACCCATAACCAGACGAACGAACGCACACAAGACCGTGAGAAATCTCACCTTATGCCGGCGCCTTGAGCGAGAGTCACGTCGTTGCTCATGAATATAACACTGAAGAGACGCAGACCGTCCCTTTTCGTGACGCCATTCTGTAGTGTCGAGTAAAATGTTGCTAGTCATTGCTGTAACAAAGGAGTCCGCTCATACTGAACCTTTGATCATAAGTTTATTCATATCACAAGCTTTCAGCATAAGTTTAACAGATGTCATGACACCCGAGAACGGCGTCCCAGATTGCAATGGCCGCTCTAACCTCTTCGTCGTTTTTACCCAGTATATATAATCTTCCCAAGATATGGGTGGCTCCCTCTACTGTCCAATCCCCTGTCTACAACACACAGACTTCTCTGTCCTATCCGGGGTGTCACATTAAAACCATTCCCATCTGACACCAAAATAAAACATCCTCTACGGTTCCACTTAAAAACATTAACAACGTCATAATCTTAATACACTACATTTACCTTGTTGTATAATGTATACCATTTACAACTGGAATCTATATTGATATTACAATAAGGTGTGTATATTTTTTCTTATGAATACATTTCTTTCTTGTTGTCCAATAATTTTCACTTAGCAAAAATTACTTAATATCAAAGGCAAAACTGATTGTGTGGATGAACAAAGGTAATGTTACATAGTCCTATGTACATCCCAAATGGCACCCGATAAAGTACACTATCGGCCCTGGTCAAAAGTAGTACACTATGTAGGGAATAGGGGTGCAATTTTAGGACACAATCAGAGGACAAAACCCGCTCATGTATCATGGACATTAGCTGTGAAGTGATACACATTGTTGCAGTGTGGTTTTTACTATGTTTATGAGCTTACTACTTACAAAATATACTGTATTTCAAACCATAGAAAGTGGGTTAAATTGGTTAAGGTAATTGAAAATAGGCCTATTTGGCTCTGGTGATTTGTCTGTCAGGGTGGGTGTGGTCTCCCATGGCATCACATTACATCACAATCATGATGTCATAAATGACTGTGTTCAGATATGTTGACAGCCTAAATGGTTTGCCATAGCGTTACTGTCCACATTACGGCAACACTTAAGTTCAATTCAGGGTCAAAACCATTGCTATATTTGGATGGTTAATTTGAAGTGCTTGGTGGTAAGTAGTTGTGACCACTTGTGATTTAGTGTGAGTAGTCCTACTTTGTGGGCACAATTTAAATTGAGAGTTTTATTTAAATAATATAATAATATTTTTAAGCCATATTGTATCTTTTTCAGGATTACAGTAATTGAGGGAACTATGGGAAAGTTCTCCTTCCCAAGGCTCATCATAAGAATGGTTAGAATCCCTTTTCTCTCACCACCCTCAGTCAAAACTCCAGTGCTTTAAAATCAGCATTTTGACATTTAGGCCTATGAGCTTTTCTAAGATTGAAAATAACAAGCTTGTATAATGATAACCTCATTACTGACTGCATGTTTGTCCTCATTTTAATTTCTAGCCATGGGCAAATCGGACTGCACGGGACGATTCTGCACAGGAACTAACGAACTCCACAGGCTCAGAACAACCACCCTCACAAACTCCTCACAACTCCCCAGCCATACTGTAAAGTCCCATCTGTCAGCTAACTCTATGATCTCTAAAGTGGTCCAGACTAATAATTTATGGCCAATCAGTGTAAACTTCGTACTAACTAACGGCTTGATCTAGTGTCAACATTATACCTTCTTGATATTCTATATCAACGGAAAGCGATGGAAGGCACATAATAATCCAATGAGTAAAACAAAATATACCATGTTCTATTCTCAATATCCCTACTGCCCCAAAGGTGTGTAGGCAGGGCAAGGAGAACACCGATTCAACCCCGAAGAAGAGGAAAAAGAAGAGGCACAATAGAAGGGGGACCCAGGTTGAACTAGGCATGCGGGAGGATATCCCATGACCTTGAGCTCGCCCATTGGAGATTGGCTAAAGAGACATGGAGAACTGAGCGATGGAAACATAAGGGAGATGAAGGCGCTGTATGGATAAATATTTAGGCTGCACAAGTTGTTGGAGGAGGTAACGAGCAGTTTTCTTACATCAGACTTCTCAGTAGATATACTGTAGTTGCTTTGAGATGTTCCCAATCCTGACACACGGAAATTAGATCTAAATAGTTTGAATAGTGAAATAAGACAGCAATAAAAAAAAACTGCACACTGGTAGTATTCTCAGGAAGGTCGCATTCTGCACTGGTAGTATTCTCAGGAAGGTCTGCATTCTGCACTGGTAGTATTCTCAGGAAGGTCTGCATTCCTAGAAGAGTTGAAAAAGAATACATCCAAAAGTGTGGACGATCCCATTTTCCTAATATACAGTAATAAAATGTTTTCTCTATAATAATAATAATAATAAGCCATTTAGCAGACGCTTTTATCCAAGCGACTTACAGTCATGCGTGCATAATTTTTTTTTTGTGTATGGGTGGTCCCGGGGATCGAACCCACTACCTTGGCGTTACAAGCGCCGTGCTCTACCAGCTGAGCTACAGAGGACCACAATAAATATCTATAATATCTATAATATGTACTACCCATACACATATCATTGTTTTAAGATAGTAATAACATGGACCAACAAGCTATTAAGTAATAAAAATGTGTCTGTCATCATACAGATTGGGGTATAACAGGGGTGATCAAGCAGCGCTCCACCTCCTCCATTCTTTGTCCGTCTCCCCGACACTGCCAGCTCTCCCCAGGTACAATCTCCACAGGTACCCTCACCAAAAGCCAATCGGAGTGTGACCAGCATGCCGCCGCCACCCAGAAGAACCCGGCTAAGAACACTCAATCTTTCCCCCTCTGGTCACACAGAGCTTGCACCTCCCCTGACAAACGGCCTCATTCTCCGTCCAAGACGTCGCACCCACACGCTTCACACAGATTTTCTGTCCCCATCCCACCTCCTGGCTCCCGGCACTCCTGCCCAGCTGAGGCAGACCCATCCGCATGTCCACCCCAGGTCCCCATTGACTGACCAGGCAAAGGTCAAGGATAAGGTCAAGAGGTCAGAGGTTGCATCGTCTGAGGAATTGTCTGAGGAAGTTCAACGGAGAGGCGCAGAAATTGAGAATATGTATAAAGCGCAGCTGAAAGAGAGGATGGCCCAAAAGGAAAAGGAAGAGATTCTGAAGAAAAGGATAAACAACTATGACAAGAACGATGACACTGAGGCCTCCTGCTCCTCTGCAGTAGGACAATCGAAGACCCCTGCCACAGCCCCCGAGCGTCCGGCCAGCCCAGAGGCCACCACAGATGCCACGCCAGTGGCCGTCCAAGAGGACACTCAGGGGGCCACCCAGCAGGACCTAGCAGAGGTTTGTGAATGTGCTCAAGAGGCAGTCATCTGACCTATACCTGCCTGACGACGTTTGTGAGGATTCACTCACGTGGAGCTCCATTTACGAGGAGCTGTGCCCACTTGCTCACAGGGTGAACTCAGAAGCTGACTACAATCAAGGCGCTCTGCGACACCACTGAGAAGGCTGTGACGCCCTTGCGCTTGTCTCAGGAGGATGTGTCTCAGAGTATGAGTGAGGACACAAGTGAGGAGGGGAGTAGTGAAAGTGAGGAGAGCATGAGTGGACAACAACAGAGATGTCTACACAGGGATCCTTATGGTGAGAGGGAGAGGAAGAAGATTGATAGTCGTACAATGGAAGGGAGATATGCAACCGCAAATGCAATGTCTATGATGGCGAGCCTAGGGAAAGAAGAACTTAATGCCATGAGCTACGCAGAGAGGATTAAATATTTCAAGGACGAGGCTAAGAAAAATGAAGAGATGTTGAAGATGAAAAGTGGGAAGGAAAAAAAAAGGAAGGCGGAGAAAGAAAGGGAAGAAGAGGAAGAAATCGGTTGAGGAGGAAAGGAAAATGACAGAAAAGATGGAAAAAAAGAAGTTAGAGGAGGCAGATGAAAAGGGAGAAGGCAGAGATGAAACTAAAGATCGAACAAGAGAAAAGAGACAAGAGCAAGAGAAAAAGAGAGAAAAAAAGAAATGAAGAAGCAGCAGATGCAACAGAAGGCCCGCGAAAAAGAAGAGAAAAAGAGGGTGGAGAAAGAAAAAAAGAGGGAGAAAAAGAGGGCAGAGGAGTTGAAAAAGATTGAGAAACAGAGGATGGAGGAGGAGAAGAACAGGGAAAAGGAGAGAATGAAGGTGCTGGAGATGCAGCAAAGGCACAAGAGAAAGAAGAGAAAAGGAGGAAGGAGGAGAAGAAAAGGAGATTGAAGATACAGCAGAACAAGAGAAGGAGGAGAAGAAAAAAGGCAGAAAAGGATATGGGACGAGGATAAGAAGAGAGCAGAGCTTCAAAGAATAAAAGATGACGAGGCCCAGGTTCAAGATGGAGATGGAGAAACTGTATGAGAGAGAAGAGCGGATTGCACAGATTGAAAGAGAAAAGAGGCGTTGCGAAGTATGAGAAAAAAGGGCAGACACAGAGAGCAAAACAGGTGGTGCCATACCAGGTCACAGCGTTTACATCTTTGTGGACGGAAGAGAGGGAGCAGTGTCCAGAGACCGCTCACGCACAGTCTGCCAAGAGGAGAACAAGGAAGAAGCAGAATGAATGAGGCGGACGAGGCGTTGACAACTTTTGAGTAGATGACGAAAGAAAAGCGAGCAGACAAAGGAAGAAAGAAATGTTGTCAATGCTCTTAGGTATGTTAATAGATGTAAATAAACAAACATTTTTATATTTAAGGCAAAAAACTAACAACAAAACTGGAAAAGGAGCAAAAGGGGGGGGGAATAATACAGAGCCAGGCATGAGGGTGAAGAGGAGAAAACATGAGAGGAGGAAGGGAGACCAGAGTGGTTTATCAGGAGGGAAATAGGAGATATAGAATTCAAGTTCTGATGGACAGAATCAGGACGGACCATGGGATAAAAGGTCAATGAGATTAGCAGTAAAGAAGAGCTAAGTGGATCAAAATAAAGTTATGGAAAACGCAAGGGGGGAGGGCAATACTCAGAGGCAGAAGAAGACAAGTGTCACGGATTCTGCCGAGGCTGCTCCTCCTCCTAGTTCGGGCAGGCTTCGGCGTTCGTCGTCCCCGGAGTACTAGCTGCCACCGTTGAATGTTTCTATGTGTGATTGCTTTTGTCTGTCTGTCACACCTGTGTCCGTTTGTGTCTGATTACGTGTCCTATAAGTTGCCTGTGTTGTATTGGTTAGGTTGTGTGTTGTTTTTCGCCTGTCCGTAGTGCTGCGTGTTTTGTATCTGTTTCATTGTTTATGTTTTACGCATAGTTTGCGTATAGCTCGCCTCTGTTTTTCTTGAGGCCGTTTACTGTATCTTTGCCTTGTAGTTTCTCCAGTAAACTTTGTTGGACTAAGCTTCGGTGTCCTGCGCCTGACTCCCAACCCACATACACCTCAGCCTTGACAGAACAACACAACCAGTATGGAGTCAGCAGGAGCAGTGGCGGCACCCAAGTCGCTGGAGGATCGGATCAGCGACCAAGACACCATGATCCGGCAACTTGGGGCCGCCATGAACGAGGTGTCCAACACTCTGCGCCGGTTGGTTACGGGAGAGGTGCCCACGCCTTCTCACACCATCCCGTCACCAACGGCCAGTCCTCCTCTCTCAGCACCGGGACCCAGTGGCATTCGGCTCTCGCTCCCGAGGGCATATGATGGTTTCTGCAGCCGGGTGTCAGGGGTTCCTCCTGCAGGTGGAACTCTACCTGGCCACCATACACCCAGCGCCCTCGGGATACGAGAGCGTCTCCGCCCTCATCTCCTGTCTATCCGGCAAGGCGTTGGAGTGGGCCAACGCCGAATGGAGGGGAATAGACGCCGCTACCATCACCTACGCTGAGTTCTCCCGCCGCTTCAGGACTGTCTTCGATCATCCACCTGAGGGGAAGGCGGCGGGGGAGCGTCTGTTCCACCTCCGACAGGGGAAGAGGAGCGCACAGGAGTTCGCCCTGGAGTTCCGGACTCTAGCGGCGGATGCGGGGTGGAATGAGAGGGCCCTCATCGACCATTACCGGTGTAGCCTACGAGAGGACGTTCGTCGTGAGCTGGCCTGCAGGGACACCAACCTATCCTTCGACCAGTTGGTGGACATCTCCATCCGTCTCGACACCCTGCTGGCTACCCGCGGACGTCCCGAGTGGGGGTCGTCCATTCCACTCTCCAGCACCTCCGAGCCGATTCCCATGGAGCTCGGAGGTGCTGGCGCTAGAGAGAGGAGGAGAGAGAGCCCGAGGGGGGCCATCCCCTGCACCAACTGTGGCCGTGGAGGACACACCGCGGCCAGGTGCTGGGGAGGGTCTCCTGGGAGAGGGGACAACAGGTCACGCACTGGGGAGTCATTCCAGGTGAGTAGGCGCCCCACTTACCCAGAGCTCTCTGTTGGTCACATGTGTATACCTGTGAGATTTCCACAGGTGGCACCTAATTCCCAGCATAAGGCGCTAGTAGATTCAGGCGCAGCTGGGAATTTTGTTGATCGTGCATTTTGTTATAGGTTAGGAATTCCCCTTCGGCCGGTAGAAGCCCCCTTTCCTGTTCATGCCCTAGACAGCCGGCCGTTGGGGTCGGGGTTGATCAGAGAAGTCACAGCACCACTTAAGATGACGACGCAGGGGGGTCATGAGGAGATCATTCAGTTTTATCTGATTGACTCTCCTGCGTATCCCGTGGTGCTGGGGCTTCCCTGGTTAAGCGCCCATGATCCTACCATTGCGTGGCAACAGAGGGCTCTTATGGAGTGGTCTGCCCAGTGTGTAGGGAGATGTCTAGGTGTTTCCTTAGGGGCGACCTCGGTAGAGAGTCCGAACCAAGTGCCCGCAATGCGCATTCCCCCTGAATATGAGGATTTAGCACTTGTGTTCAGCAAAACGAGGGCAACACGGCTACCACCTCATAGACAGGGGGATTGTGCGATAGATCTCCAAACAGGAGCGGCACTTCCGCGGAGCCGTGTGTATCCCCCGTCTCAAGAGGAGACAGCGGCTATGGAGACTTACATAGCAGAGTCCTTGGCACAGGGATACATACGGGCCTCCACTTCCCCGGTTTCCTCGAGTTTCTTTTTTGTGAAGAAGAAGGACGGGGGTTTGCGCCCGTGTATTGATTACCGTAGTCTCAATCAGATCACGGTTAAGTACAGTTACCCTCTTCCACTGATTGCGACTATGACGGAATCATTACGCGGAGCGCAGTTCTTCACAAAGTTGGATCTCAGGAGCGTGTACAATCTGGTGCGCATTAGGGAGGGGGATGAATTGAAAACAGCATTTAGCACCACCTCGGGTCATTACGAGTATCTCGTCATGCCATACGGGTTAATGAATGCTCCTTCAGTCTTCCAATCCTTTGTTGACGAGATTTTCCGGGACATGCATGGGCAGGGTGTGGTAGTGTACATCGACGACATCCTAGTGTACTCTTCTACACGAGCCGAGCATGTAGCCCTGGTGCGCCGAGTGTTGAGGAGACTGTTGGAGCATGACTTGTATGCCAAGGCAGAGAAATGCTTGTTCTTCCAGGAGTCCGTCTCCTTTTTGGGTTATCGGTTGTCCGCGTCTGGTGTGAAGATAGAGGTTGACCGTGTGTCGGCCGTGCGTAATTGGCAAACTCCAACCACTGTAAAAGAGGTGCAACAGTTTTTGGGTTTTGCTAATTACTACCGGAGGTTTATCCGGGGCTTTGGACAGGTTGCAGCTCCCATTACGTCCCTGTTAAAGGGGGGTCCGGTTCGCTTGCAGTGGTCAGCTGAGGCGGACAGGGCATTTGTCAAACTGAAAAACCTGTTCACCTCGGCTCCGGTGCTGGCGCATCCGGATCCCTCTTTACCATTCCAAGTAGAGGTAGACGCGTCCGAGGCCGGTATTGGGGCAGTCCTGTCGCAACGGTCCGCACGCCACCTAAGCTCCGCCCCTGTGCGTTCTATTCTAAGAAGCTCAGCTCGGCGGAGCGTAATTATGACGTAGGGGACAGGGAGCTGTTAGCTGTAGTCCAGGCCCTAAAGGTGTGGAGGCATTGGCTTGAGGGGGCTCAACACCCTTTCCTCATTCTGACTGATCACCGTAACCTGGAGTACATCCGGGCAGCTAGGAGATTGAACCCTCGTCAGGCTAGGTGGAACATGTTCCTGACCCGGTTTGTTTTTAAGATCACATACATCCCAGGGTCCCAGAACGGTAAGGCAGACGCCCTGTCCCGGCGGTATGACACAGAGGAGAGGTCCATTGAGCCTACTCCCATACTGCCGGAGTCTTGTCTGGTGGCTCCGGTGGTGTGGGAGGTCGATGCGGAGATCGAGCGGGCACTGCGTACCGACCCTACTCCCCCCGAGTGTCCTGTGGGGCGGACGTACGTTCCGCTCGAGGTTCGTGATCGCCTTATTTATTGGGCTCATACATCACCCTCCTCTGGACATCCAGGTATTGGCCGGACAGTGCACTGCCTTAGCGTGAAATACTGGTGGCCAACGTTAGCTAGGGATGTGAGGGTTTATGTCTCCTCCTGCTCGGTGTGCGCCCAGTGTAAGGCGCCTAGACATTTGCCCAGGGGAAAGTTACATCCCCTGCCCGTTCCACAACGACCATGGTCCCACCTCTCGGTGAATTTTGTGACCGACCTACCCCCCTCCCAGGGGAATACCACCATTTTGGTCGTTGTGGATTGGTTTTCCAAGGCCTGTCGTCTCCTCCCAATGCCGGGTCTCCCTACTGTCCTACAGACCGCTGAGGCCCTATTTACCCACGTGTTCCGGCACTATGGGGTCCCCGAGGATATTGTGTCTGATCGAGGTCCCCAGTTCACCTCCAGAGTCAGGGGGGCGTTCATGGAACGCTTGGGGGTCTCGGTGAGCCTTACCTCGGGGTACCACCCAGAAAGCAATGGGCAGGTTGAACGAGTCAACCAGGATGTGGGTAGGTTTCTGAGGTCCTATTGCCAGGACCGGCCGGAGGAGTGGTCTAGGTATATCCCCTGGACAGAGATGGCCCAGAACTCTCTCCGCCACTCCTCCACCAATTTAACACCTTTCCAGTGTGTTTTAGGTTATCAGCCGGTCCTGGCACCATGGCACGAGAGCCAGATCGAGGCCCCTGCGGTGGATGAGTGGATTCGGCGCTCGGAGGAGACGTGGGACGCTGCCCATGTCCATCTGCAGCGGGCCATCCGTCAACAAAAGGCGAGTGCCGATCGCCACCGCAGTGAGGGACCGGTATACGCACCGGGAGATCGAGTCTTGCTCTCGACTCGAAACCTGCCCCTCCGCCTGCCCTGCCGGAAGCTGGGTCGGCGGTTTGTGGGGCCCTTTAAAGTCCTGAGAAGATTGAACGAGGTGTGTTACAGGTTACAACTGCCTATTGAGTACAAGAATATTAACCCCTCGTTCCATGTGTCTCTTCTCAGGCCGGTGGTAGCTGGCCCACTCCAAGAACATGAGATAGGAGAGACCCCTCTGCCCCCTTTGGACATCGAGGGGGCCCCGGCGTACAGGGTCCGGACCATCTTGGACTCGAGGTGCCGGATGGGTGGTCTCCAGTATCTCGTGGAGTGGGAGGGGTACGGTCCGGAGGAACGGTGCTGGGTGCCTAGGAGGGA